GCATGAAGTCTGGAAAATGTCAGCAACATTTGTTCCAGACATTTTCTGGAGTTTGCCTTTCATATATAAAGAACGCAACCTGGTGGAGAAGCAAAAAGTGTCATTCGTTTGTTTTTAACTGAGGGTCACCTTTACCCCTGAATATATTGAATTTCCTGTGTGAGAGGCAGGAGAACTCTTTATCTTTTGTTCTTCTACTCACACCTCTACAGCATTTTCTTGCTCACTTCATATCCCGGCCACTTCCTCATCTTCCTTTTGTTTCTTATTCTCTTACCCATTCTCTGTCACATCCTAATCCTCCTATTTCCATATCTCGCTCTCTCTTCTTCTGCCTCAAATCATCTCCTGCACCTACCCATCTCTGTCTCCCACACACACACACCAGAGACACAACTTTATTAGTCACCACAGCAGGAGACCACTTAGCACGAGTGTGTTTGTGGGTGACACAGAGTGTGTGTTTGGTGGAGTTTCTCATTTTGAGTTCCATGATATGATTAAGAGGGCTAATATCTCTCCTCTTAAGAGCTTTATATCTCGCTCGCTCTCTCTGTTGGCCTCCCTCAAATTGTTTTGTGTGTCGCCTCCGCTTAGACGAGAAGAGCTGAGTGAAGGATTTCTTTCAGCCTACCTGCTCCTTCTGAAGTGTGTGTGTGGGCATATGTGTGCGACAAAGACAGAAAAAAATCACATTTTCTTTATTTTCATATTTGATCTTAATATTGTAATTTTGCCAATTTCCACTTCATATAATCTCTAAATACTAAAAAGCGGCTGTAGCTCAGAATCCCACTGATTCTAGCGTCAGCAGTTTTCAGACTGATAGATAGCGACTGTAGTTACTGTGGAACAGCATTTTACTGTTTAAGTTCAAGCAAGGTGAAGCTCATTTACTTACTACTTACTTTTACTCAATAGAACGAGAATGACGCTTTACCATATGACAAAAAATGTGTGTGTGTGTGTGTGTGTGATTTAGAGGCTCAGTTAGAAGCAGAAATTGCAAAACAAAATGAATATAAATGAGAATCAGTGTCACTCAATGAGAAAAAATGAATTGTTTGTTGTTGTGGTTCTCTAAGATGATTTCTCTCTCTCTCTTTCTCTCACCTAAAAATACAGTGGACAGGCTTCCATTGCTTGAAAACACACAAATGGCCGCACACACATAAACACAGGGCATCTAGTGGCTGTAAATCAAAGGTAGAATTGGAGCCAGAAGAAAATGGAAAGCGACGGAGACTGAAATGTAAAGAGAGGTTTTGTCCATTAAGTAATGCGATGAGGTCACCACTAACCAAATCAAACTGTCATTCAATCATTCACCTCTGTGAGAAGTTTAAAGTCAGACACACACACACATACGTTGCACAGCAATATGAAATGCATCCATTAAACTTATTTACAGCCTTCTTGATTTTCTTCTGGGTTTTTCAATCATCAGTGCCTTTTGCTGACCTTTTTTCACTCTGTCACACTTTTTTTTTCAGAGCATTTCTTTGTGTCTATTTCTGTCTTCAGTGAAGCTGTTGTGTGTGGGTGTGTGTGTTTTGTGTCAGTCTGTTGACAGATCAGGGCACGGAGGCTACCCTCCAACTGAGGAACTTTCTGTGGGAGCAGGTGTCAAAAAGTAACAAGGTAGAAATATAGAGACGCAGAGAGACACAGGGATAGTAGAGAGGTGGGAGTGATGTGATCTATTGCATTTAGGATTGTTTCTGCTGGAAGAACAGCATAAATTCAACAGTTACAAGGTTGCACTCTACATATTTTCTCTCTGGTTGTTTCTCTTTTTGTCAGGTGCTTATTCTATGGGATGCTAAAGCCGTTTTTGGATCATTGAATGTCAGCGGATTGTATAAATATGTGGAAGGAAGTGGTGCATGTCCAATTCTGCAATCATTTTTGTGTGCACTTACATTTTCACAGCATCTCGTGTTTGTTTTGTTTATAGTGATAATCTTACTGAAATTGTTGCCTACCCAGCAGTGGAGACTGAAAACACCTTGTGGGTACAACACAAAAGTGAACGGCGGATTTCTCAAGTTGGTCTGGGGTTGTGTCGGGTATGAGCTATAGCTACAGCACATAAAAACAACAGTGCTATATAATCAGGGCAAAGGAAGGCAACGACGGTATGGATGAAAGATAAGAAGTAATAAAATGTGTCATAGAAGATAAGTGAAAAAAAGATAAAGTAAAATAATGATGGACATTAACAGGACTATAAACCAGACTCAAGCTGAATTCAAAGGAGTGATGTTTTGCTTTTATTAGTACCTGTTAAAGGTCTAGCAGCTGCTAGAGAAAACTAAAACTAAAAACTTCAAAATAAAACTTAATACTTGGCATCTAAAGCCAAAGCCTCACAAAGCTGTGGACCATCACTGATAATCCCCAGGACCAGTACTGCTGACGCTCAAAGTCAGGGATGTTGGAGCTTTTCACAAGCACCCGAATCCATCCAAACACTTCCTGTTTTAGCCGAAACAAAGATCCTTGACATCAGCTGCAAGTATATTGAAATCTATGGCTCAAACAAATAAGAGACAGGGAAAGAGAGATTTGTGTTCATGTGAGGAAGAGAAAATAATAATAAAAAAGAAAGAAGGAGGAGGAGAGGAAGGGGCTAAAAGAGGCATAAGGAGGAATGAGACAAAGATGGAGAGAGGGAGGCACAGATGGGAGTGCTGTTATACAGCCAGCACCAAGTATGAATAATGAAAGCTCTACAGTCAGGGAGAGAGTGTGAGTGTGTGTCGCCTGCAATGTGTAAATTGGCTAGATTAGTGCACACATACGGTAATGAATCCCCCAAGCGTTGGTTGGAACACATTTACATGTGTTTTTGTGTACATTGAGCCGAATTGTTTGCGTTTGTGTGTGTTTTTGTATCACCAGTGAAGCATGAGTACATGTGGGGGTGGCGGGCTGTCATACAAACCACAATCTCTATAATGAGTACGATGTGCAAAATGAAAAACACTGAATAAGGCTAAGTATCCACTGCATGTGTGTGTATCACTGTAGATGATTTGTCTGTGTTTGAATAGGCAAGATAAATTGTGATGCTTCAGTGTGTGTGTGTGTGTGTGTGTGTGTTTACGTACTCCTTGTTCTCCCTGAATGAAATGAAACTGTGTATTGACTCATCACCCTTCCTAAATCTCATTGATGTCTATGCATTACTCATACTCCTCTTTCAGCATTTTCTCCTGTGTTGAATTTCCTTTCCAAACTCACACTCACACGTACGCGTGTGAACATACGCTAACATTTTAATGTTTCCAGTTGATTCAGCAACCCTCTGATAAATGGGCTCAAAACACATGAATGCTCAAGTTTAATGGTAGTGTTTCTAACAACCCTGAATCATGAGTTTGCATGTAGTTGTAAAGTGCTTCTCTCCTCTACTGTTTCCCATCTGACCAAACGATATTTTGATATCATTTGCAACGTTACCTGGAGTCGACGTGACGCCAGAAATAGCAAATCCATCCAGTTTCATCCACTGTTGCTGTGACAGCTCACCAATGAAAACAATGTTCTTCCACTTCTCTACACCTCCATCTCTCACATCCATCTCCACGTCCTCCCAGGTACACACGCCCCCATCCTCCCTCCACCTCTCCCTCCTGTTTTTCTCTGTTGAACCGAGGCTTATTTGCGGCGTCAGAGTCAACATGGCTGACAGTGAAGCATATGATGACACAACCGGGTGGAAATGAACACTCTCTGTCTGTCAGATACAGATGGAGTGGTGCAATAGATGCAATACACTTGAGGTGAAACGGGCGAGAAAGACACCAGATTAATGAGAGTTATTTAGAAGCATCAACACTATGGTTCATATATCACACGCATTTAAAATGAACATTTTAAAATTAAGATAAGGATGTATACTTGGATGTATCCTCCTTAGAGGGAATCCACAAAATCACGCAACAGCATGCGAAAGTAGCAGCTCAAGGGAGACATTTTAAATTTTTAATATTGTATATACACAAGGCTGTTTGTTCAAAAATGTGCAATTTAGAGTGTGAGTGAACGGCTCCTGAGCTGCCTCAGTTCAGGGGATGAGAGGGGTGGAACATGATTTTTCCCTCAACCTCAGTCACTACCTCCTCACAGTCCAGTTCCATCCCCACCACTGAGCCGGCCGTCAAGCTCGGAACACACCAAGCCTGCAAACATGGATGTAAACATTGTGTGATTGAAATTTCTTATAGCACTGGCTCTTTAAATGTTTCATGGAGAAGGAATAAAGCATCATGGGACTCAGGAAGAATACTAAGAATACTGAGCTGAAATAATGATGTCATCTTTCTTCATGCTGTTTTTCAAATGCGCCTTTCTGCAAGTGAGTAATATACAGTTCGACAATAATATTTTAGATCTTTTGTAGATGATGAACAGCACGACAACATTTAATATTACATTCGTTGAAGAATATTTCAATATTATGTACTCGTATCATCACATTTCTCAGTCAGTGTGCGCTCCTCTTTATTTCTCACTTGACCTATTAAGATTTGGTCATGGCATGCATCCCCTCAAAACTCTCAGCGCTGCATTTTGAGCCTCTCTCCTGGGTGCTCCTAATTGAAAATGTGGTTGAGCTGTGCGTGGCATCACTGTCAGCCGGTGACAAATTAGCAGCCTGGTGTAGTGTCTCACTGAGCCATGTCGGCTTGGGCTTCAGCCTTCATCTTTGCAGAGACTCCTTATTATCTCCTGGACACAGAGGAGAGCAGATTTAATCTGTTCATTTTTTATGTGTCATGTAGAAGTCCTAACTCTTGTTGCTGTGTTTTGTGTCTGAGCAGCAGAAATGACCTCTGACTAAAGAGTGACGGCAGGAAACTTTCAGTGTTTTGATAAGTTGTACAAAACCCATTTGCTGTGAATGACTTTTTGTTATGAGGGAGCGCACAAAACAAAAAAGGTTAACGATCTGGAATGCACTCATTCTCGTCTCTCATTTCTCTCTACAACAGGAAGATCATCGAGGTGAAGATTATTGATGATGAGGAGTACGAGAAGAATAAGACTTTCATCATCGAGCTGGGAGAGCCGGTTCTGTTGGAGATAGGACAGAAACACGGTGAGTGTGTGCGTGTTTGTGGCTGTTGTTCAAGGAGGATATCAAGAATTCAGGAGCAGGAACAGGAACAATTGATGAGTGTGACAGACACAACAGAGTCCCAGGCCTCCTACACGCCTATCTCTTATAAACAGGGCAAGACCGGCATCGATTGCCTGAGGCCTCCAATCTAAACTCAGATTAAGTTGGGAAACATTTTACTTGAACCGCTAAGGACCTGGCTTGGATTTAAAAGACTCAAAATGTGAGATTTTTAACATAACATCAACATATCGTCATAACTTGGATCTCACTGGAAAAATAACCTGTTCCAATCGGTATTTGCTTCAATATCTTGCCACTGACTTTATATAAATAAGTGATATCCTGTACAGTTTACAAATAGCCAGATACACTCCCTGTGTACTGAGGTCATAACTGTAAAGATTTCACTGAGCTAAGCAGCAAGAAATTAGCAGAATGAACAATATGTAGTTCATTCCTGCCTAAAGATCTATTCAGCCCTGTAAAAATGAAATATCAAATTGTTTTGGCACAGTACAGTGTCATCTGTCTCTTTACTGTTGACACGACTTTAGAGATAATCAGCGTTTAGTGACATTTGAATTAAAGGTTGAAGCCGAACATATGAAGGATGGACAGGACACTGGCTGGTTAATCCCCTGACTTTACTGCAACTGTGAGTTTGACATTTGTGGTCTTCAGCAAAATGTCTTCTCTATTGAATCGACTGCCATGAAATTTCTTTGGGTATGACACTCATCCCTTCAGGGTGCATTATAACAACTGGTGACACTGTAATTTTTCCCCAAGTGTCATCATCATGTCAACTTTTCAGTTTGTTCAAAACTTTGGCTTATTATAAAATATCTGCAAAAACTATACAAGTCCTGTCCAGTGATGTAGTGGTGATTTTCAAAGCGACCCGTCCAGTAAATGATAAACGTCATGAATTTAAAGACTACACCTGCATATTTACTTTGGCAAATAGTATTTGCACATTGCCACTTAATTTCTGATGCAGATTTTGCATCAATACTGGCCCACAGCCTGAAGGGTGAGGCAACTACTTACTATGCATTTTGAGTCAACCTTTCCTTTGTCCTTCCTCACAAAATTGGACAGTTATTATCTCATTCCTCTATAGACCAGGAGTTTCTTTTGTAAACTGATGTAAACTTGGAACAGATGATTTACCACCAATAGTGTCGGCCAGAGTCTATTAACATTGTATGATTAACATTATTTGTCAAGGGGCAGCTTGCAAATATTACTAGATAGATGGTGGTGGTGGAGAGGGTGCACTTGATTGTCCATGATGGATAACAGCTTATACAGATACTAAAGCACTAACTCCACTGCATGGTATTGTCATAATTTACAGTGCTCTGCTATTAAAAAGTGTTCACAGTGGTTGACGTCTTGTCGTACAATAGGCAGCATCATCTCTAAAGAGCCAATCCCAGTTGACATTAGGTGAGAGGCGGGATACACTCTCGACAGGTAGCCAGCGTATGAACAGCCGAATGCTTATTCCAATAGACATGAATCTGCCAGCCACTTCTGTTAACCTGCCAACATGGAGGTTCAAGTCACTACTCTTTCCCAGTCGAGCAGTAGAGGTTGTTCACAAGGTTACGGTCACTTTTCAGATTCCTTCATGTGTACAGCAGTGGTTGTTAAATAGAGCCTCCACTTACAGGCTGAGTTTGAAACCTCATTCTGCACAGTGGTCGACAATTGATTTTTTATCTGTCTCCTTCTTAACATGCAGACTCTTGGTGGGTCCACACTCTAGATGGCAGACATGAAGAGGGCATGTTTCATTACAGAGAAATATAATTAGTTTTGTGACACTGAGCTGCTGGATTGACATTTACACACTCTCTCTCACACACACACACACACACACACAAACACTGTATAACGTACTGTACAGTGTTTTCACTTACAGCTGGTCGGCACAGATAACGGCTGACTCAATTAAAGACTGTCACTGACTGAGTGAGAAAGACATATGGAATGGTCGTTTCGAGGGTCAAATAGATAAAATTCCTTGTGTATGCGGATTTGTGTTTGCAGGGGATGCTTGATAGCTCGGATTCCCGTGTGGCACATCAGCTTTTGAAGAATATAACATTCACTTCCTGGGGCGAGGCAAATCACAGCGTAACTTAGCATGGTGAACTTTGACCAGCAATATTTACTTTACATACATGTATATGTGACCGGTCCCTATCTCCGACATCAATGTCACGCATGGCAACTTGGCTGATGACTCGCCAACTGCTTTTTAAGAAGAACAGCACTCCCTGCTGTAGATGCATTGCCACTGCCACTGCCGTATCACTGCACTGAGCTACAACCACAGATGAACGACCTGTCTGTTATATGTCGAGTGGTGGTTTTGATAGTTGACTAGTCGAGTAGTCAAGTAGTCTGGGAAACCATTCAGGAGCAGGAACAGGAATAAAATCCAGAGCCCTGTATTGAGCATATTTATGGGATAAGTATAAGTAAATAAATTGAGAGTTTTGCACCGTAAGTCTGCTAACCCACAATCTCTGTGGTCTCCCAGGCGACTCCAATGAGAACAAGCCATTAGTGGGAGCAGAGGAGGAGGAGGTGGCAAAGATGGGCTGTCCCAGTCTGGGTGAACACACACAAGTAGAGGTCATCATAGAAGAGTCCTACGAGTTCAAGGTAAGTGTGTGTGTGTGTGTGTGTGTGTGTGTGTGTGTGTGTGTCTACACTTCAGGTATGGTAAAATAAATGTGAGTGAATGTGAAATTATTCAGGATATTTTAGCAGCTCTTCTGTTATAAAGTTCAAGTCTTGATGAAATTACAACATTCACCAGTTTGGTCTCCATCAAATCAGTTGTGTTGAATATCCCCTATAGAGTAAAGTTGACTTGAAATGCAAATCAGTTGTAAAATGATTTAAAGTAAATGTCAGCCGCCCCAGTCGGGACGATGAATTAATCATTTTGTTAGCTTGTAATGGAGTCTCTAATGAGAAGCTTGTCATTATGATGCAAAAAGGCAAAAAATAATGTATTCAAAGTGAGCTGTTATCTTGTTCCAGTACACAACGGGCCTTAGTTGCTGATACAGTCGACCAGTAAATTAAAAACTATTTTGACTTAGTCATTCAATGAATATTGCAGCTATTGAGTGTGTTCAGAATTTGGTTCTTGTGATTTCGCCATGGAGAGTTGTTGCACTGCTAGATCCTTCCATGTTCAGCTTTCATGACTTTGCAGTCTCTTTGTGTGTAATCTATCATTTTGTTTGTGCCTTTAAATGTCATCAATCATACCATATGGTTTACTTCATAATTTAATTTGCGCATTTGTCCATTTCTAACATTGTGTGTGTGTGTGTGCGTGTGCGTATGCAGAAAGCAGTAAAGACGCTTTTGAGAAGCGCTGAAAAGGTTAACTATCTTTCTCCCTCTTTAATTTCCCTTTGCATGTCTACCTCTTCTGTCTGCTACTGGACCATGGATACAATTGCATGGGCAACTGCCTGTTTGCCCTGTTTAGCTGAGCTGGAGAGAAAACCTTTTATTTTAGTGGCTGCATAAATATGAGCAGTTTAATAGTAGTTCAAGTTTGAGTAAATCAAATCTAAACTTCTTTACAGGAAACAATATCCTGTCGGCACTGATGTATTAACTTACACTTGCATGGGGGGTGGGGGGTGTTGCCTTTTACTCAGGTTAGAGCAATGATCCTCAAAATGTCTGTGCACGTCCCTGTATTGGACAATACATAACAATCTGTTGTCTCTGGAAGTTCTCTTATTGAAAGTGCTGATATTGTGGTGGGCTTTTTTTCTATGGTGCCTTTCACTTATTAGATTGTAAACCATGCAGGCTCCTCACAAAGCCCTGTCAGCTGAGTTATGATAACGACTGCGGGTGCGATGCTCCGTAGCTTCTATAAGCTGTTTTGCATCAACTCCTCTTCCTCGCTGCTTTGAATATAAGAAAACCTCAGCTGGTCTGCCTGAAGGCTTTCCCCTAGATTTCACAGGGAGCATCAGTGGAACTTTCAATTTCACAGCATCGTATTAATTAGCTCATCCTATACCTCGAATGCTCAGCGTTATGATTTTTTTTTTTTAATGTATCGTAGAAACGTGGAGGCTAATTGAAAGGCTTGAAATCAGCATTTTCCTCTATCTGTGTGGCTGCGAGTGAATTAACCACTTGAGGGTTGTGTCTTTCCTCTTCTGCCTGGTGTGTATGCACTTGCATGTTTACTTTTGTGTGTGTGTGTGTGTGTGTGTGTGTGTAGAGTACGGTAGATAAGCTGATCAAGAAGACAAACCTGGCCTTGGTGGTGGGAAGCAGCAGCTGGAGGGAGCAGTTTGTCAATGCCGTTACTGTCAGTGCAGGTAAAGCTCTCTCTCCCACAAACACACACACACGATTCTATCCATTTTTACTTTATTTTGAAAAGATAATTGATAACGACATTTTCTAAATATTTCCACCAGCATTTTTAAAATTTGTTGAATTCATTAATTTTTTAATTTATCTATAAACAGCTTTCACCATTTCTATGTCCTCTAAAAACACTATATTGAGTTTGTGAGGTTTGATGAGTAAATATCAGAGTGCAAACCTGTGCCAAGGCTAAAGCCCTATCTCACTTGAGAAGAACAATACCTAGTTCAACTATTTCTTCAATCTTTTGAGCTTTTACAGCATTGGGATAAAGTTATACTCAAGTTAAAGTGATGTCTCTCGCTGTCAGTTCAGTCAATCTTAAACTACTTGTCTCCTTTTTTCCCCCACTCCCCTGTCTCTTCCTCCTCATTTCAATTGTCTCACTTGCCATCTTCCTGAAAGGTGATGACGATGAGGAGGAGAGTGGCGAGGAGCGGCTGCCGTCCTGCTTCGACTACATCATGCACTTCCTCACCGTCTTCTGGAAGGTGCTGTTCGCCTTCGTCCCGCCCACTGAGTACTGGAACGGCTGGGCCTGCTTCATCGTCTCGATATCACTCATCGGCGTCCTGACGGCGGTCACCGGCGATCTGGCGTCGCACTTCGGCTGCACGATAGGCCTGAAGGATTCTGTGACCGCCGTGGTGTTTGTGGCGCTGGGAACATCAGTGCCAGGTGAATAAGTATATTTGTACATAGTGTGAATATTTATTATTAGCATTCATGAAGCACTAGAGTGAAACAAAATACATTTTTGTGCTTCTACAACATAAAAAAGAAATATGCATTTATATTTTTCTGCCTTTCTGCCATGGGACTGTAACACTGATTAGTGTATGGGGGACTAAATGGTTTATCTGAGGATTAACCAGCTGTTTGTCAGTCTCGTCTTTGTGAGCACTATATACATTCCTCCACAACTCTGAGTGCAACCACACACAAATCTCAATAGTCTTTAACATAGACTGTGCATACAGATGGTCCACATGTCTCCTCCCACTGTCAAGAAATTCAACCAAAGTATCCTGGATAGAAATGCGATGACTAGGGGATGGAGCCTCAGTACAAGCTCGCCTCAATACAAATAGTTAAATGAATATCGAGTCAGTCTCATCTGTCAATCATGACGTGATGAACTAACTTATTAAAACCAAACTAGAAAAATGTAAACATCATTGTGATGAAAACTAACTCAATTGACAGAAACCATCTTTGAGAAAAATGGAATTGACATGAATCTTTACTTTTTGGTTTGATCCAAGTCCTGTGCATTAATATGGAGGAGGCAATTTAAAAACTTTATCTTTGGGAAGCCGTCATGTCGTCCATCTTCATATGCAGTCTATGGTTACAACAGCTGCTGCAGGCCGAACAAAACTCTTTTATTAACGTGTGTGGGCTACAAACCCATGACATGCACCTATTAGCAGTCAACGCAGAATTTTAAGGAATCTCTTAGTAAAGCCTGCTCTCAAAACACCGTTTAGCAGTTGAGATGGATAATCCCAGCCCTGGAGCATAAAGCTGAGAAGGTGTTTCCACAGATATGTCCAAAACTGTATCCTCTTTTCAGGAATGAAAAGTGATGCACCATAGCTGCAGTATTGTAACTTATGTTTCCTCACACTAAAATTGAACAGTAAGTAAACGTAATATAAGATGCACATTTTCCTCAAATCTCTGAGGCGACAGTCAGGTGAGTAAACAAATAGAAGCAGGCCCTGATCCTCTCTCCTCCATCTCATTTCATCTGCAGCCGGCATCTGTGTGGAGGCTTCAAATCAAAATTGTATTGTAAAACCCCGGCTCCATCAGAGCCTGTCTCCACCCGAAGGGGAAGCATCGTCCCAGGGCTTTAATTCAATTCCCTCCGTCTTTCCTCTCGTCAGCTGTTTTATTGAAGCCCGCAGTATGATTTATAGAAATAGCTCCTTTGCGACTCTTGCAGGTGATAACTTAGCTGCCTTGGTGCAAGGTCTCTGGAAATTAGCGTTTGAATCAATTCCTCCAACAGCAGTATTATATTGTGTGTTGCAATTGGAGGCTGTAAATCCAGGCTTGATATCCATTAGTGTGTGTGGCCTGTCACAAGACACATTGACGATACTTTGTCTGCATTGTATCTTTTCTTTTTCTCGTTTTCTTTCTCTGAATCTTTTTTATTTTTCATCACATTCACTTTCTTTTCCCGAGCCTTTATCCGTTCTTCCCTCACACTCTTATATTCCACCTCACTTATCTGTAACACTTGCTCTCGTACCTCTTTCTTCTCGCTCTCTCTCTTCTATCCTCTTATAGGGTTGTTGTGTTTCCACGATTGTATCATCCATCATACCCAGGTGTGTGCGTGGGTGAGAATGTGTATGCTCGGCCAAGGTGATGCAAGTTTGCGTGCGACAAGTCCAGCAGGTCACTCTAACTTCCACTGAGAGTGCGTGCTCCGGAGTGTGTTTGTGTGATTGTGATCCTCTTAAAAGTTGTTGGAAACATTTACTGCAGCTTCTCCCGGTCTCTGGTGTGCACCTCCTCCAGATGTTATAAAAGCATTTCTGCATTATTACATCAGAGACGCACTCAAGGATTATCAAGCCAATTTACACCAGATTTGCAGATTCAGGCAATTACAGGCAAACGCTGATCGGATGCTTGCTTTGAAGGCTCTGAACCATTAAATGTTTCTGGCTGTGAGGAAAAACTATGATGCTGAGGGTTTCTAAATTTGGGTATGATCTTCGGGGTTGTCAGCTGCAGCTTCATCACTCAGATTAAAACCCACATCTCATGTGCCTGTGTGTCAACAACACACGCACGCTTTTCATTTCTTTTGTGTGGTCTGTCACCGGCAGGACTGCCCGGAAGAAAGAAAAGTTTGGAGGATAATTTTCATGAATTTCGATTAATCTCACTGACATTGAAATGAGAATTGAGACTCATCTCACCAGCTCTTCTAAAAATAGAAATAAGCCAAGACAGGCGCACAATTACTGGCAGCTGTTTCCCTGGTGTTTCCTGCCAACTCAGTTGTGTAGTCGCTGCCTTTTAAAAAAAAAATCTGAATCCTCCTCACACCAAAGAGCTTCACTCGTGTATGCCTGCAGTCTTTATTACATCTGTTCTATCATGGGTTGATGTCAAGTTGTGACTTTTCTGGAAAAGGATCTGATTTATATGTGTCATTTGTAGAACATGGGTAGAAAATATATTTAACCCAAGTGGTAACTGAAATGAAAAATACTGTATGTTAACTTTGAGGCCATTTCCTCAGTGGCTGTGAAAAAGCAAAACATTCTTCATATAAGACTCATTTCCATACCATTGCTTTACATTGTGTCCTTGTGTTGTTCTAACCTTGGGAGTGTTTTCATGTCTTTTGTCCTGTTTTAATTTTTGTTACACTGCTTTTGGAGTCATTTAGTTAGTTAGTTTGAAGTCCTAACTTGATTAAAAAAAAAAAAATACATGGTTCAAAATGTACATCTTAAGAAAGTCTGGGTAAAGTATATCGACGCCATCTCATCTCAGAAGTTACACCATTGTTGAAATGTCTTTCTTGTTTCTTATGGCTGTCTCACTTGAACTATTCAAGTGCTTCACTGATCTACTGCTAGATAAAAGTATATATAAAAGATAATGAAGTATATTTGAAGAATATTCATATTCTTTCCCATCCAGACACTTTCGCCAGCAAAGTCGCTGCCATCCAGGACCAGTATGCCGACGCCTCCATCGGCAATGTGACAGGCTCCAACGCTGTCAACGTCTTCCTTGGCATCGGCGTGGCGTGGACCATCGCGGCCGTCGCCTGGCGCACCAGGGGCAAACCGTTCCGGGTGGACCCGGGGAACCTGGCCTTCTCCGTCACCCTCTTCACCATCATGGCCGTGGTGTGCGTGATGACGCTGCTGTACCGGCGGAGGGCGACGGTGGCCGGCGGGGAGCTGGGCGGGCCGCGGACTTGCAAGTTGGTCACGTCGCTGCTGTTCGTCTCCCTGTGGCTCATTTACATCCTGCTGGCTTCGCTGGAGGCCTACTGCCATCTACCGCAGTTTTAAACGGAGAGGAGAGGGGGGGAGGGAGAGAGACCTACTGCCAATATGAAGAAAGAGAGAAAGAGAGGAGGGAGGAATGTTCAAACGAAGGAATGAAAGAGAGCTGGTTATGCGACGGTAGTTTTTATAGAATTAGCAGATCTACACATGAACTTTTTTTTTCTTTTGAATAGATTTGACAGTAAACCAGTAAAAACTCCAGTGTCCATAATAAATATTTTTGTTAGCATCACTCTTTTAGACATGGAGACCCACCCCAAACGTCTGGGATACATCAACCCTCTAAATTAAGAATAATCTAAAGCCCTGATATTAAATCGTAGGTTTTAAAGAGCGCTTTTTGTTTTGTTTTCAGTATACTGCCAAACCAGTAGAAGAGAAGAAGACGCAGTCAGGCTCTGAATGGAAAGTTGAAGTAGGGAGGAAGGACAAGAGGCAACTAAACTAAATCAAATTGAAAGTCTGTACATGAACGGAGAGATTAGAGAAATGAAGAGTAGATTGGCAAGAACACTCTACACCCCCTCCTCACTTTCTCTCGCTCCCTGTGTCGTAACTGTGTCTCGTTGTTGCGGGAACAGTTGGATTCTCCCATGATGCCCGTTAAACTTTATCCAGTTCTATCAGTGACTTATGACTTTTAACCTCTCCTCTGCCAACACACATAACAAATACACTTATATAGACTGATTCTGCAACAGAAGACAACCTTTTGTTTTTCTTTATTCCATCTCTTCTGGAATACACTGTGCTTCATCCCACACACACACACACACACTCACACACACACACACACACACACACACACACATACACTGTACACTCCAATTCCTCCTCGCCAACAAACACTCACAAACAGACTCTACACACCCCTCTACCCCTCCCTCTTGCCTTACTCTTACCTCCCCTTGTAGGATTTTGTCTTAAAGTTGTGATAATGAAACTCCGTAGTCACCACGCACCGAGCCTCTTTTTTTGTCGAGCCAATCCCGAGCCCCTTCTCCTCTTAACGCCAACGCCAAGTGTTGTTAACAAAAACGTACCCTGTTTCCTCCCCTCCCCTCCCCTCTTTTTTTCCCTAAATTTTCAATGGCGTCACGTGTTGATGTTGTTACCGTGCAATTGTAAAAACAAAAGTATTAATACAGTGTGACGAGATAAATTACGAGGAGGAAGAGAGTTGTCGAGAAGAGCAGTTGGATGTTGGATTCGCACCGGGAAGAAAGGGAGGATGGCTTAACGGACGAAACGTTTCTTTTTGTCCTGCAGTGACGAAGCATTGTGCGCTACACGTTGTGACGTACGCTGTTTACACGCTGCAGTTCCCTGGACAACTGGAGCAAAGCAGGAAATGATGTAACAAAAAGGACTAATCAGAACTGGCTGTGACCTTGATGATGAATAACGACGACCTAGTGTTTCTAGTTGTACATGATGATATTAGAAACATTTAAAGACATTGATATTTCATTTATGTTACGTCGCTCTCTTTGTGAGGAAACCCCCCCCCCCCCCCCCCCCAGAGGAAGATAAGAAATGCCCTCAGACCCTTTTTTCAGTTCAAGGAGAAGTTTTAAGGAAAATCCATCGACGGAGAAACATAAAGACAGAGATGACTCACAGACGGAGAGAGAGGAGTCGAGTCCTCTGAGGGAAAAGCATGGCAGCTCTGAAATATCGTGTCTTGTTCCGCAGCTGTTGTAACTTTGGGACGTTTCTTTGTACTCTTGAAAAAACACCAGTCTCTGTTATCCAAAGATTTGATAGAAGAACATTGTCGCAGATCACTTCACAGGTAGACAGCCATTATTTGTCAGTGTGCAGTTCCCACAAGCTGTAGTTGGAAAGAACAGGTACATTTCAGTTCTCATTACAGCTAAACATGCTCGACCATAGGTATTTTTTTATGGGTTTGAGTCTTTTATCAGAAATATGTTCTATTTATTTTGTTTTTGTGAAAGTTTTATTAATCCAGGCATGGTGTGTGTAAAAAGTGAAAGTCCAAGTAGCTGGAAACTATAATTTTATGCCACATATATATATGAAATCATCTGTTTTGTCTTTGTTTGTCTGTCGCCCTCTTTTCCACTGGTCAGAAAAAAAAGATGCTAGCATCTGGCTTCTGTCAGTAGAGATGTTTAAATCAACTCCGACCGTCAGTCTGACTTGACACTCGGAAGAACGTGCTAATTTGTTGAGAGAGCAGACGGAGAGCACCTCAGTTTAATCGACGTCTAACATGACACACGCGGAAAACAACTGAAAGGCAAAGTCCTCCACTGGCAATCAGAAGGGAGTCGATCACCTTTTTTGGGGTTATTTGTTTTAAAAAAACCTGCATGTAGTTTCAGTGTAAAAGAGGTATGAGTAATTGTCGAAGCCACATTTACAGTATGTTTGTCTTACTCCTCCTGTCCTGCCCCAGGGGTAAAGACTGCAGCTGGACAGAATGGACAGCAGACGGCTTGTCAGTGCAGATTATTATTAAATGCATTGTTATAAAGACGCCATAGAAGGAAAAATAACTGCAGGGTTTGAGCAGTTTCTTTTTCTCTCAATTGCCCACGATGCCGATTGCAAAGCTGAAGGAAAGTCCTCCCAAGAGAAAACAATAATTAGGCTTGTTTCTTTGTTTTACTGCTGTTCACAAAGAAGAAAAAGAGGAGTGAAAACAAGAATTTACCTGCCCACCGTCCCCGCTTGTTTAATATGCACAAATTACCGGCTGCTTTCAACCCAATGGAAATGCTGTGTTTACAAAGTGTGCTCAGCCGTGACCGGGATTAACAGACACCGGCTTGTCTGATGCTGCCTCGTCAAGGTCGACGCTTGTGCAAATATGTGGAAAAAACAGGGATTTAGAGCGTAGGTGCATTGATCCATGGGAGTGACAACGTCTGTATGCATTGAACCCTTTTCCTCAAATGTCACAACAGTTCCCTTCACTTTCTGACAGCTATGGAAGAGAAAAGAAAGCGAAATATTCACATTTTTCTTTTGAAGAAAATCAATGAAGATTTCTGTGATTCCCTTAAAACGCCTCAATTCACTGATGAAAGGAGTTTGGACAATTGCCATGATGCTCTTGCCCTATTTCAAAGGAACTTCTTCGTTTACATCGCTGTCTAGAAACAAGTTCCCACCTCACAGAGAAGTTGGCTTTGAGCTCCTAGGGATACTAAAGCAAGGATTTTTAAAATACTGAGGTCCAGGCCTCCCCCAGCGCAACTAAACCGCCTTTGAAAGAGTTTGGCCATGACAGCCGAAAGAAAGTTTGAGAAGTAGGGATGTAAACAGGAAGTATAATGTACTATGATTTCAGTGTCTTGCAGAGAAATCCGACTGAAGTATTCCAATTGATTCTAATAAGTTTTAATTGTAGAATCTCTAAATGTCCAAATGAGCAGGATATGACCTCAGATTTCTCACTGGTTGCTATGGTCTTGGCTGCTGATAGATGTTAGATGTATTCAGATCCTCTGTTTTTAAACGTAGGAGCGAAAGCCCACACGACGGAGGTCATCAGCCGGCATGCGAGTTTTGACATGACACACATGTTGTCATGGCTCCTGGCCCACGGAGACGCCAAAGACGCCTGCCAGGCCCGACTCCTTTTCTCAATGACTTAAGCGTCTGTGTAACAGTTGCCAGTTTAAGAATGAGTGGGCAGGATAATAGTGCTGCTGACGCCACAGGAACACAAGAACGCCACGACTGATTTAGACATGTCGTCTTTTTAAAGGTTGATAAGCCTTTTGCTGGAGGACAGCTGAGTGTGTGTGTGAGCTTGTGTGTCTGTGTGTGTTTTTGTGCGTGTGCATGCTCTCTAAGTGAGTGTAGAAATGCAACCATATTTTTAGTCTCTTGCCTGTTGCTTAGTGACCATCTATCTGCAAGCCGTTGTCTTCTTGACTGTTGCTGGTGTGTGAGACGCGTGCGTGTCTTACTTTTCTTGCTTGCCCTTTCTGTCATTGAATGTGAAAACATAGTTTCTCGCTCACTCTCTCTCTCTGCAGGTCATTATCAACATATGTTCCTCATCATACAGCGTTCCTCATCCCCCCTTGTTTGCATGTGACTCTTTTGTGTTCACGCCTACATGCATTGTGTCTGTGTGTGTCTGTGTGTTGCTGTGTGTTGGTTATAGTAATCTCCTTATAAGGGCTCACCCGGTGAGTCCCTGGCCGAGTCCCATACGCTAGATTAATGAATTAGATGCCAAAATGTCCGGAAATTGGATTCATACGTGCGCACCTGTTGAATAAGATTAGATGAGAAAGTGTGTGTGTGTGTGTGTGTGTGTGTGTG